ATGTATAGATTTGGGTTTTTTTCTTACTTGACTTCATTCCCCACAGTAAGTTTTCTGTACTGAGGTACATGTGTCTCTCATTACACGTGAAAATTATCTGAATGTAACACTCAGACCAATGGGTTTGAAAGTATTGCAGAGGCAGAGCACTCATTCCTGAGGCAGGAAAGACTCTTGGTTACTTCAAAGGCACTTATCTTTTTCATGCCAATGGCTTTGATAGTCTGCCTGACTCTTGGAATGAGCGGGGAGGTGAAATATGACGTGAGATTGTGGAGGAAGGGAAGGGAAAGGGGTCATTCTTGGACTTCTCACAAAGCCTACAAGGGCCCCAGGGCAGCAAGAGGGCTGAAAATGACACCATGAATTCCCAAGAAGACCACTAAGACATTTTCCCTGAAATCAAGAAAATAGACGTCTTAAGAAACAGTTCAAAAGTCCACTGTTGTTTTTATGAGGAAAGCATGAAATAAAAGCTGATGCAAACAAGAAGTACCATAGCTTAGTTGGAAAAAAGTTGATTACGCTTTGCCTGAAACTGTTGTCTTTGGTAGAAGCAGAGTTGACAAGGAAATTCTACTACATAGCTTTGTAGGGGAACATCTGAAAGCATGTCTTCCAGTTAGTCCATTTTGTTTTCAAGAATACCTTTTTTCTTTCCCTTGTCTTTCCATTGTGTAAACCATGCAGATGTCCACCTGCAAGTGGACAAATTTCAAGTACTCTTGCAGTAAGAGGCTTGGGAAAGATTTCCTACTGTAGTCAGCATCCTGACTCAGGGCCATAGGACCTTGGTGAGGTACAGGTAACCTCAAAATTCTCCATCCTACTTCCCATACTGTGATTTGGTTTCTAGTGCTGTGTTAGAAACTCTTAGGAGTAGGTGAAAAAGAAACTTCCTTTCTGTTGCTCTGTAGAATCTGAGATCACACCAAGTTCTCCATCCAGATTGGAGGGATCTCTTTCTGCCTTGAAAGCAGCATAGAAAACCTTACCTCCCAGTCAGAAATTCTGCTGAAGTGGATGGTGGGACAATTTTTAGAGAGAAGAAAGTAAAAAGGTAGTCTACTGTATTAGCCCTTTAAGCTTTTTTTTTTTTTTTGCTTACTACCACTCCTAATTAGAGTTTCTATTTGACATATTAGTGGCTGCTAAGCCCTACCATGCTGTTTAGGTCAGACATTGCACTCACTACTCTCAGCAAGTAGCACCTGAAAAATTGTAGGCAGCAGCTCCCAAAGTAGGATCAACAAGTCAAGCACATTACATGAAATCACTTTGAACAGTTGTGTGAAGTCATTTGTTCTGCCATGAGAAATCGTCAGTCTACTCAGTCTCTTACAATTACCCTTCTCTGTTGGTAACTTCCATCCTTCAGCTATTACTGTTACCCTGGTTCCTGCCTCAGCAAAATGACAGAAAAGTTTAAACAACCTTCAGAGTTTTCCAGTGGAAAATATGCTCTGACTAAAGAACATTTTACTGGATCTCTAAGGGCTGGCAATTCCTTTGCTGCTTTGATTTTAATAGTTTTAATTTCACATTTCAATATATAATAACAATTGATACTAACTAAAGTCAGTATTTTTACTCTATATGTACCCCTGATGTATACATATACGTAAGAATATAAAGGTGTTATATCTGTATATGGTCTCTATGTATTAGAATATTGATAGAGATAATATGTCAAATTTACGCACTTGAAATACTTATCCAGGGCCAGTATGTACGGTGCTTCTTGCATAAACATTGTCATATGAAATACAAAGATAGGGTAACCTGTGGCTCAAAATACAGCAATTTTATATTTCATAACATTTTTCATTTAAACTACAGGTTGCTTTAAGGAACATTAGATATGATAATTAATTTAAAAACTGCATCATATTTAAAGAACTACAGTCTTTTTGGGGGGGGGGTTGTGTGGGTTTTGTTTTTTTTTCCCCCATTCAGAATAGAAACCATTTTGTGATCAAGCTTCCTAATAACAGTTCTGATATATCTCAGTGCTTTTATTTTGTTTTGTTTTGGGTTTTTTTTTCTTATTTTTTAAACCTTTCTAGCACTTTCTCAGATAATAAAAATGCAATGGATTAAGAAAGGGAAAATAGTAGCTTTTCAGTGGCTAGGAAGGCCATTAAAATTTCATAAATATCTAATGTAGAAGAATGTTCAGATATTCTAAATTTTCTGAAAATTGCCAGTAGATGATGAAGATTTTTTTACAGTAAGAGCTGCAGAATATATTATCAAGTAAATTTTTTTTTTTAGAGTTGAAAGAAACTAACATCCATTTAAAAGATGATTATTAATATTATCTCCAGATAGCCTGTTAACAGTCTTTTCAGGAAGTATCATTAAAATGACAAACATTGCCAAATCTGTCTTAGTATTCCTACTGACTTTTAGTAAGTACCACATGAAATAAGCTGAGGTCTATAAAGTGAAGATAAGGAAAAATGCAGCTGTTTGCATTCAGTTCATAAACAGTAGGAGGAAGTTCACCCATCCTTAAGGTTTGTTTCTTGTCAGATCAATGACATTTTTTCAGATGGGAAAATAAAGTAGCATAGGTTTTTGGCAAAAGAGTCAAGGGTGGTGGGTTGGGGTTTTTTTTCCATTCACTCATGTTTACTCATAACATTGGATTGTGCCTGAATGATCAAATACCAGTTCTTTGCAGAAAACTTAAATCTGGTTACACCTCTTTTCTCTGTAATTTCATCCAGTTTCCTTCTTCTGAAGTACATCAGTAGGCTATGTGACATGAAAGAGGGTCAGTGTTCATTTCTGGCTAGCAGAGCATTGCAATTTATTTCAGTAGACTTCCCATCTTGAAGAGGTTGTGATGCTTTACATTCCTGTCCCTAAGGATTCCAACTCTGGTTGGGTTTTCAATGAATACAGAAATCCTCTGAACCCTTGTCTGTCAAAAATCATATTTTCTGGAGTTTTTTTTCCTCGTAATGGAAGAAAATAAAACCCCTGGTATTTCAATTAAGAAATAATAATTAAAAAAAAAAAAACTATAAACACCCCAATGTTAGATTTTCTAGAGACAGTAAAGAAACAAAGATTTGAAAGACCTATAACGGAAGTCTATTCCTTGTACCCTTTTAATTTTTTAATTACAAAATATTTTGATACCAGTGGTTTCAGTCATGGTGTGTTGACATGATTTGATCTGATATGGCCATGAATAATTGTAATTTTCTTCCTCAGGCTTCACATATTTCTACAAAGGAAAGGAGTACTGGAAATTCAATAACCAGATGCTCAGGGTGGAACCTGGCTATCCCAGATCCATCCTCAAGGATTTTATGGGTTGTGATGGACCAACAGATCGAGATAAAGACCGACACAGCCCTCAAGATGACGTTGATATTGTCATCAAACTGGACAACACAGCCAGCACTGTGAAAGCCATAGCCATCGTCATTCCCTGCATCCTGGCCTTGTGCCTCCTTGTCTTGGTTTACACTGTGTTCCAGTTCAAAAGGAAAGGAACACCCCGCCACATACTGTACTGCAAACGCTCTATGCAAGAGTGGGTGTGATGTAGGGTTTTGGTTTTATTCTTTCCCTCCCAGGAGTTTGTGGTAACTTGAGATTCAACACAAGAGCTGTTATGCAGTTTCCTAGCTAGGAGCGGGCATCTGTCAGTCTGAAACAAAGCTGATCTTTAAAACCCAGGGGGTTGCCTGTCCTGCGCATGAGTGGCGATTCGCTCAGCTGGGGAGCTTCCATGAGACACAGTATCTGCTGTTTCTTCAGTCCTTTTTCTTTCTTTGTCATTCGATTCTAGGCCTTTCCTCTGCACGCTCAATGCCCTATAAACTATCAGGATTAACTAATGAAGAGGAAAAAAAAAAAGTCTCCGATGTTTCTACATTTTTCCCTGAAGGCCTGTTCCCCTTTGAAAAATTTTTTGCTGAAAGTAAATTTTTTTAAAAAAACACAACAACCCACAACGGAACTTTCAGGAAAGTGAGAAGACCCAAAACAGCTTTGTCTCCAAAGAGGATTGCTTTCTGTCTGCTATGGATAAAGTCCTATACTCCTACTTCCAGTTTTGTCAGGTGGGAGACTTGGATGACTCGCAGGACTTCAGACTGTTCGGACAGCCATTTTCCAACAAACAAGGGGCCAAAATATCTGCAATATAGTAACAGCCTTAATAATACATTCATTTTGTGTTTTTTACAGCTGCTCTGGGCTACATCTTCAATGTTTTAAACTCATTTATATTCATTACTATATTCAAGCAGAACCTTTTTATTGGTTGATTTGATTTTTGGTTGGTTTTCCTGCATAATCTTTCCCAAGCTGTACCAAGCCAACTGCCCCAGGCCTTTCTTAGGTCTGTCAGGACCACTCATTCCAAAGCATGGTAAAAAGCAGTGTGTCTCTAAAGTGGATTTCAATGAACTAAAACAACAGTCATGCTGTAGAGAAACTTGATGCTGGTATTACATTGGTGGTGTAACCCTTTGAGAACTATTGCATCTGTTTTCAGAGTCTGGTGGATGTTAACCTTGGTTGTCATTAAATTACAGGATTGTGTTTGGGTAATACAGGTTTTAAAAGAATATCGGTATTTCAGAACAGATCTCCTGTGACTGCAAGTGAGTGTTTTTAATTATTTGCATTACTGATAGAAAAACGTTTGTAACATAAATAGAAAACAAAATATATTTACCAGCTACTTTCTGGTTAAAAAGAAATTTTAATAACTTCTTAATGCCACTTACCAAGAATTTTTCTGAACTGGCAACAATTTTATAGCTTATCCTTTTATCTTGAGCATCTTGAATTTCTCTTTTAAACTATGTTGCATGATAATTCAATTTGCCTCTGCAGAGGTAGAATTACAGTTTCAAAGGAAAGATTAAAAACTGACTCTGATATTGCATGAGTATCCTCCGGTGTGTTACCCCTTTGCATGTTCACCATAGTTCTCAAAGGGTTAGTGGAATTTCTGGCCTTCAGCCGACCATGGAATCACTGACAGAGCCAAGGGACCACCAAAGCATTTTGACATTCTGTGTAATTTGTGCTAACAGCAGTATTGTCATTTTCATGTGACCTGCAGCGCAGGTTTGTATCAATATTTTTTTCCTAGAGAAAAGTCAGCAACTGACAGACCTCTTTATTGATTTTAGGAGCTGCTTCTTGCAGTGATAGGCTTTACAGTCACTGGGCTGTGAACTTATTAAAGATGGTCAGAATGATGCACCCCAAAAGTCAGACACCTGGCTTTTTATGAAAGCCAGGATTTGAGGGGAGTAGCTTTTGCAACAATGAACAGCTTGCCTTGAACTTGATCATTGACCTGTTGACTGTCACTACCAAGTTAAACATTGTCTTCTGTGAACAGCTTCACTGTCTGAATTTCCTTAAAGTGTACTGTCCTGTCTTTGATCTTTGACCTTTAACTTGTAAACTGGCACAAATCAAAGGGAATCTGGTGTTGCGAATGAACTAAGACAAGTTTTATTTCTTAAAAGCCTGATATACATTATTCAAAATTGGAGAAAAAAGCATTGAAGTGTTTTCATAGAAAAGAACTGACATAATCTAAAATATTTATGATAGATCTGTAGAAGGGTATTTTGCTATGTATACATGCACACTCTAAAAATGAACTACAGTAGAAGTTAATTTTTATTTAACTTGAATACAATTTTCAGTAAAAAATTATCATTTCTACAAATAGCTAGTTGTTAATGAAAAGGTTGTAGGAAAGTATTAAAATACTTGAAATGGCCAGTATTGGCTTTTACATAAAATGAGACTTTTATACTACATTCAAACAATTTCTTACTGGTTTCTTAATCCACATGACTGGATCACTTTTTAGAGAGTGTAGGTATATATGCATATGTATAATGGTTATTATTATTTTGGTAATGGATAGCTTGACTGCCTTGAATTTATATTTATATTGAGCATAGCATGAAAAATAGTATGCCTTTCTGTTCAATTACATGATTTTATATTGATTTGAGGACTTACGTTATGAACATATGTGGCATGCTATAAAGCATTGCAAACTTATTTCTTAGAGCATAAACAGATATACATATGTACGGCTAACAAAAATGAAGATTAAAAAAAGATATAGTTTTACAACAAATATGCAATGCAGATGGCATTTTGGAGATGTTTTGTAGAGGTACTGCATACTGTAGGTTAGAAGTGCACCAGTATCAGCCCATAGCATTATTTAGTAAATCTGGTTCAGTTGTTGCTGAAAATATAGATTAATTGACTGATAAGTAACAGGATATTTACTGCACATCAGCTCGTTTGGTGAATTTGGAATTCTATGCCTGTTTGTCATAGATATTAAAATGTGTGTGTGTGTATACTTACAAATGCACACAAATACAGACATACACACACATGCGTATTTTAATCCATGGAGAGATTTTTATTGTCAGCAAACTACTACAACTTATGTTCTGCTACAGAAAGAACAAAATTATTCATGTTGCTGTTCCAATTTTGTCCCTTGGATAGTTGGTAGAAATTAATAACAGCACTACTTATTCTGCATTTGGTTTTCATCTACAATAGGAGAACTTACTTTATATTAAGTCAGAACAGCATCTCATCTCATCTGGTTTTTTATTCACTTGAAAATTTCACTTCAATTTTTGAAACATCTTCCATGGCAGCTTTAACTTTGTGCAACTGTTTCCCTGACAGTAATGAAGTGCTGAGCATGTTGACTGTTGTTCTTTGATAAGATAACAAAAATGTTTGTATTTGGAGAATTTAAATTATGCAGGAAGGTAAGTGTGATGAGTCTAGTGCTTGGTATATGGTACATTATAGTTACATGAATACATGATAAGTTGATTGCTTAATCTATTTTCTTTTACTTAGAAGTGCATATATATTATATACAGAGAGAAGGAGAAAAAATAATATTATATTGGTATGTTTATGTCATGCAGAGCAAGATTGTGTCAGCATTTCTATTACGTGTTGCTATTTTCAGTAGGCTATAACACTGTCATAAAGGTTTGCTTTAAGTAAAAGATGTGTTCACTGTAATTCCCAAATACATATTGGCTAGTTTCAAATTATAGAAGTCCAGAGTAAATGAGTGATGTTGCCTGATTTAGTTTTGAACTCAAATGAGTAAAATTTCTAATACAATGTTATTATTTGAACAGTTGTTTGTTTGTTTTGGGTTTGGGGTTTTGGTTTTTTTTTTTTTCCCCCATGGCCTATAATTATGAGAATTAAGGAAAACCAAATTGAAAATATTTTCAGTTCTGCGATCTTGGTTCCTGCTCATGTGCCGTAACTTTTTTTCATAAAGTTTTTAATAAACATTTCCATATTCCTATTGTCATGATCTGTACTGTGGAACAAGACAAAACTGAATATGCATTGTGTTAATCAGTTACAGTCTATCAAGCTGACTATACAGGGTCGTGTATCTTCAGAGTACTATGGTCTGTATGATGCAGGAGGCCAGAGTAGATGGTGGTAGTGTTTCTTCTGGCCTTGTAATGTATAAATCAATGAAAAGGTTATTGGCTCTAGAGAAAAAATAATTTTTATCAAAAATACATTAAAAAAACTGTGTAACTGTATATTTACTGGATAGGCTGGGATGGAGAGACTCAAATGGCTCCAAAGGAGCCCTTTCAAGTCTCCTGAATAAATGTAATACATATTTTATATCTTCCTATGAACTTTTGTTCTTTCTCTTCTTTCCAAGTGGGGTAAATGGAGGGGTTAATTAAAGAAAAAGATTTTTTAAAGCTAATTTTGTGAATGAAAATAAGAGAAACTAAAAGGTTCAAACGTATGGGGCAGACTTAAACTTTTTCTTAGAAGTGTACTTCACTTCCCCAGTTGTTTGGTCAAGACTCCTGTGCCATTAGCACTGACTGTAAGGCGTAATTTTTGGATTTTCAACCTTTTGGGGAGGGTTTTACTTCACAGTCTTAATGTAAGTTAAATGTAGCTTTTGGTACCAAATTATATAGAATCAAATTCTAGCTTGTTGGTTAGAAAAGAGTGTGTAGAATAGAAAGTAGGTCTGCCTATAAGCAATGGAAGCATTACATTCCTATTCTAGTTTTTTTGCATTTGAACAGTCGCTAGGGCAAACCTTAAAAAAGACACATAATAAACTGAACAGTGAATGTTCCAGGCACTGCATTTTTAAGAAAGTAGAAATGCAAGCTACAACACCATTAGCAGCCTAAATTAGAGATAGCAGAAGACGACTGAGCTGAGGAGCAAGGCTATGACTGCAGGGACTTTCTCTGTCCTGGCTCCCATATCTTCTGACAACACGGCCTAAGTTTTATCACCAATTGCAGAGGTGGAGGAAGTCGTGCACCGTGACAGTAGGAGATGTGAGGCAGCCATTACAGAACAATAGTTCTCTGTCATCTTTTGTTGCTGTCAAGACTGTCTTTGGATAGCTCTATTTCCGGAAGCGTAAATAGATGGCTGCAGCCCTATGAGCCATAAGGAAAATCATTATTATCTGTGAAGTGGACAAATGTCACTGGCCGCTTGGGCCTTCAGCTGTGCTGTAAATCAAATAATATTGTGTGGGAGCTGAGGAACAGATCACCTGTTATTTAATACAATGTTGTAGCCGTGGCTGATACACCAACACCGTAAGGTTAGGCGTACTTCCTTAGCTCACACTACACAGACTGCAGGCAGAGGGGTTCACATAAGATCTTGAAACATATGTCAGTTACAAAATCAGGTGTAAACCATGTAATCATAAAATTAATCTGTTTTATGCATGTAAATCAATGAATTGTCTGCCACTGGTCTCATGAAAAAATGTAATGTGTGAGTCTAATCTGTCTAACCCATTCTTGTGATATGCCATTTGAGATATCAGAGGCTAACATTGTCATCAGTGCCCTCAGTGTTGACAGTGTCTGGTAAGCATCAAAATCATATCACCACTTGTTGCAGACTGGCTCCATTTGATGCTTTATCTGAGGTAGCCTCTAATGTTAGGCAGCAGAGATTCTGCATGATGTGGCATTATTTGATGTGTGTAAGTAGCTAGGAAAGCCCAGTGATAATCAGGAGATCATATTTTGAATGATCATCAGTATGTGACCACAACAAG